GGGGGCACTCGGCCCGGGATGGGGGTGGGCGGGGGCGGTGGCCTGAGGAGGTGTGGGGCGGGGAGGGCGCCCGGGAGGCACCGGGCGCCGTTAGCGCCCTGGCATCGCTGTTTTGTTGTTGGGTCACGAGTGCGCCTCTGCACGCAGGCGCCGCCGCCGCCCGGGAGTTGTGTGCAGAGCTGACTTTTGGAAGGGCTGAGTTGCAGGCGGCGGGCGCATCCCGGAGATGGCGGGGCAGGGAGGAAGGGAAGGAGGGAGGGGGTGGGGAGGGAGGTGCAGATTTGCACGGCTGGCCTCAGCGGGAGGCGCGGAAATGCAAGCCGAGCATGCTGGAGTGAAAGCCCCCGGGGCCTGGCACCCCTCAAAAACGACCTCCCACCTCAATCCCTGCCCCCATTGCCCACGGCCCCCACGGGCTACCCCCCTCTTCCTCTTCCTTCACTCACCCCACCTCGTTACCTACGTGGCCGACCCAAATTCAAAACATTTTGTGTATATATAATTTTTTTTCTTTTCTACTACGTCTTTTTTGGGGGGGATCCTCTCTAGATCCCCATAAGCGGACCTGCCATACGGAGGAGGCATTTGGGGGCTCAGGAAGAAATTAGCGCAGCTCCATACCTGTACGGACTGCATAGCTTTTAAACTCCTGGACTCAAAGATAAGGATCCACATACACACAGGTACAGGAAATACAGCCAGACCAAAGCCTTTTCAGACCCGAGCTGACCGGAAGACGTTGCCTTTCATTCATTCACTCTGCCCGCGTCTGTGGAGTCCTTACTAGGCGACAAGCCCTGGAAGAGAAGTTGGACATTTTTTAAAGGTCCCTGCGCTCGCCAAGCGGAGGAAATAGATACTCAGGAGTGAACTACCGAGAGAATCGGATCTGGCGCCTCCTAACGCAGCTGGCAAACATGCGAAGGGTAAGCCCTTATTGGCGGTTTACAGGAGAAATGTCGGTGGAAAGGTGCAAGGAGCTGGGATGGGGCGCGGGGAACTTTGGGCACCCCTTGATTAACCCTACAGCGCTTCTTGGCGGAGGTATGGGCACCCTCTATACAAATATGGAATATCATTAGATCTCGGTATGCTGTCCACATACCTCATTCACTGTGACCACCCCCAAAACTGGAATCCTAAACGTGTTATCCTGTAAGTCCATCATGAACAACAGTCAGGTCGACTTTGGTTGTGAGAAAAGCTGGCCCTAAACATTCTTCCAGCCCAACTAGGCCTGATCTTGGAGGTAAAGATCACGATGAGATGACATGGCACCAGGGCTACAGTAAAAGAGCCTTATACCTGCTCATAGCAGGCTTTGCAAACAAACTTCCCATACTTTTAATTTTACTTCTCTCATGAACCCTGTGGGATAGTTGGAGCAAATCATTTTGCAGATGGGAAACTGAGGCTCAGAGAAGTTTTGAATCTGGATGATTGCTTTACCCTCATATCCTCCCCGTGGCAACAGAGTGATCAGACAGATAAGTGCAGAGGATGTGGCTTCCCCATCAGAGATCAGATGTGAGCTGTCAGCGTAAGAGACAGCTTCCCCCTCACTCACCTTGAATTTTCCTGTCCTATCTTTCTGTGTTTCTTTTCCACCCACCCTCCAAAGACTACTCTTTGCAGTCTGTTTTAATCCAAGTCCACTAGCTGGCGAACTTCAAAATTTTTTCCAAACTGAAATCGCCCACCTTAATGCGTGTGAGAGGGGTTTTGCCTTCAGCCTCTGTCAAGAACCAGGGACCATTTTATTTGCTTCTCTCTTTTGCAAGAACCCTTTAAGGGAAATAGTTTTGTTATTCCTCATTTTGCAGATAAGGAAACTGTAACTCAGAAAGGGAAAGCCAATCACCCAAGATCACACAGCTTATATAAATGGGGTTGCTAGGGCTCAGACTGGAGCCTGGCTCTGCCATCACCTCCTTTTTTTGGATATTGACCATCCTCACTGCTCCCACATAATGAGATAAACATGTTCAAAGGAGGGTGCAGTGGGCTGGAAGGTCATGAGTTAAGTGCAGTAAAGCAAAACTGAAATAAAACACTTGGTCTTAATTCTCCTTTCCTCCCAAAGACCCTACTGCCTCCCCATGTGGTCTCATAGTGTCCCCAAAAGCTGGTATCAGGAAAAGACCCAATGGCAGACACCTTAGTGTAAAAACAGTTAAGTCCATATATCACCCCGATGGGGAGTTCCTGGCCTGTCAGAGTGGGAAGGGGTTGAGTAGTCACCTAATTTAATCCCCTCCCTCTACAAACCGCCAGGAAACCACAGACCAGAGAGAAGAATGGGCCAGCCGGGGGTTTGTTCCCCTTTGACGCCCCCAGAAGGCCTACCCTGCCGCCCGCTACTAAGTGGTCACTCAATAAATGTTGGGCCCTTGATGGATCACCTTCCCAGCAATATTTGCATTTTCTCTTTATCAGTAATTGGCAGATGAAAGGCTTTGTACTCCTGTTGAAAGAATTCCAGGCATTTGCTCAAAGTGGGGGGAGGAGGTTATGTTGGGCCGAAGGGGGAAGGGCCAAGACCCTTGAGCTCCTTCCTTGGCTAATTGTCCCCGAGGAGTGGACTGTAGGTGAGGGAGCAGAGGGAAGCTTAAGGTGATTCCCCAGGAGAGGGTTGTTTATTTGTTTGTTGTTTCTTGCAGGAAAAAAAAGACCAGGCCAGTTGTATTTGAAGCATAATAATAATGACTTCCTGGAGCCTCTTGCTCATTCTTACAAAAGGCCCAGTCAGATCCTGGCTGTATTGGCCCCATTCATTCATTTCTTCATTCATCAAAGGTTGATTGAGCAGCTCTGTGCTCTAAAGACAGAAGGTAGAAAAACCAGCTCAGATTGTAGACTTACTCCAGGCTGGGCAAGGGGTGGGCCGCCAGCTTCCCAAGCAAGTTAGGAAGGGCTGATACTCTATGGAACTCTCAGAATCCAGCATTTTCACACTGTTAGAAACTGAAGCTGTCATATTCAGGTATAATTATAATAGCTGCTGATTTTTGAGAGCTAACTATGTCTTTGAGCAAAGCCTCTCACATTTGCTATCTCTGAATACTCATCAAAGTTCTATGAGGGAGGGTCTGTAATTGCCCACGTTTACAGCTGAGGCTCACAGAGAGGTCAAGTAACTTGCCCACATTTTAGGGCTGTGAAATAGCAAAGACAGGATTTGAACCCAGGGCTTGTAGGAATCCAGAGCCCACAGGCTTCTCACTATAACTCCCTGCAGGGCTGTCCCATAGAACATAAAGATGGAAATGTTCTATGTCTGTGCTGTCTAATATAGGAGCTTCTAGACACATGTGACTGTTGAGCACTTGAAATGTGGGTAGTGGGATAAAGGAACTGAATGTTGAATTTTATTTAATTTTAATTAAATTTAAATAACTATATGTAGCTAGTGTCTATCTTACTAGACAGTGCAACCTTAGAGTGTTTTCCAGAGTTCATCTCGGGGGAAGGAGGCCAGGAATATCTGCAAAGGTTTTCTAGAAGGAGCCATCTGGTACAATGTGAATGTTTGGAGTGTTAGCCCTTAAACCACCCATTCTGAGTGCCTGCCAAGAGCATGGCACTGTAGGCACCTGCGGATGCCAGTCGGATATAAAATTGTCCCACCTACCCAGATCTGACAAATAAACTTCTCAAGGACAGATAATTGGTGATGGGGCAGGAAGCCTTAGAAATGGATATTTCCTGATATATATCCTATTGTCAGACTCAAACCCAAAGATGCAATTCACTGTATCCCTGTTTCCAACAGGAAAAGATTGAAAATGATCTAAAAGTTGGGGAACTGATTAAATAATTCTTGGACCATTTATCTGCCCAATGAAATGCTATCAAATCATTAAAAAGAATAAGAGCTCTATGTATACTGATGTAAAATGATTTCATGATATCCTTAAATTAAAACAAGGTGCAGAATAATACTAAATTGTGATGACCACTTATGTAAACCAAAGGGGATATATCTATAACTACATTTTTTTTTTATATGCACAGAAAATTTTCTTTGGAAAGAAATACAATTTTTGAATGGGGAAAAGAGAAGAAAACTTTTTCTTTGGTACAGTGTGAAATTTTTACGATGTATATGCATTAGTGTTGCCTGATTTTGAACCTTATAGATTTAATTTCATTTTATATGTTGCATTACCTTTTGAATTTTATACTATGTAGATGTATTACCTACTCAAAATTGAATTTCATTTTATTTGTGCTTTTTGAGCCTATGAGTTTCAAAATCAGGCCAATCTAAACCAAATAAATATTATTTAGTTATAAATACATAAGTGGTAAAGCATAAATAAAAGCGAAGGAGTGATTAACACAAAATGCAGGAAAAAACTCAACTCTGGGGCAGGGAATATGAACAGTAAAAGGTACTGGTGATTTTCTGTTTCTTAATCTAGATGGTGGACAGCTGAGTGTAATTCTTTAAGAGTACATAAATATTTTATAAATTTGATTGTATTTATGAAATGTTCCACTATTTAAAAATTGTTTTTAAATTGCTTTCTTTCTCTCCCACCCCCAGTTTCTCCTCTCCACACTCCCATCCCCAGAAAACTTAGCAAGTCTCTTGGGTACCCTCCTAGAAATGGTTTATGCTCTTACGAACATCTACATGTATCTTCTTTCATTATTGTGTCACACAAATATACACTGTCCTTTCCCCTTCCTTTTTCACTTAATGTGATCTGTAGAACTGCCTCATTCTAAAATATTTAAGGATGAGGTAAATCTGAATGTTGTGATACAGAAAAATTCAAGATTGGTTAAGAATCAAAATAAGTCACGGAATAACATGTATGTAATGATCCCATTTATGTTAAAACAAACTATATATAGGTAACGTATACATATGCAAAAGAGAAAAAGAAAGAAAGGAAGAGAGAGAGAAAGAAAGGCTTGAATAGAATAACAAACCATTGTTTGATCACTTCTGAGGAGAGGAGAAAATTTTGAGGGGGTTATATAGTCTATACTTATATATTACTTGCATTTTTAACAACCATTATGCCCTTTTAAATTTATCAAATATTTCAAACATAAAGAAATGCATAGAAATAAATATATATATACCAAGGATTTGTGTATCCAGCACCTACCTTTTCCAAACCTTAGAGTTTTGCCATATTTTGTGTTATATTTGCAATTTAATAAGTACTCTGGGACAACAGATCACACACTGTTACAGTTAAAGTGGTTGTAGTTCCCAGAGACTTTCGTTTGTTTTGGTTTTTGTTTTGCTCCTCAGTCCTTGTGGATTGAAGTATCTGAGTAAGAAAGAGCAGAATTACACATGGCCTTAGTGTCGGGCTTTGGTCATTTGGGGAAGACAGGTTTATGACTAGAGTTTTGCGTATTCTAATCTCTCTCTTCCTGCGTGAGAACTGGAAGGAATCTTGGAAATAACAGGTGAGTTAATCAAGGGGTTAACGCCAGGAAGAGAGTCATAAAAGTTCAAAGATACTTTCAAAACTTGCATCTTTGGA